CGATAAAACATTTTCAAATTGTATTTTCAAAAATATCATGTATATATTATATAATTATAATAGGCACCTTTGGATACTGATGGTGTAAGTATAGTTCAAGATAAGAAGTATACAGTTGTGAGCCAGATGTCTCTAGTAGATTTAGCCGGAAGTGAACGAGCCGGAAAAGCAAAAACAACTGGACAAAGACTTCAAGAAGCTGGTTAGAACTTTTTTAGTAATATATTTTTTAYATAATTTTAACCATACATTTTTATAGGAGAAATAAATAAGTCGCTATCAAATTTAAAACAGTGTCTTAAAATATTATACGAAAATCAGTCTTCTAGCAATTTGAGGAATATTGCTGAAAAAATCCCTTACAGAACATCACGTCTAACACATCTGTTCAAAAGTTTCTTTGAAGGTTCTKGTTCAATCAGAATGCTGATTTGTATTAATCCTTTGTCTGAATATACTGAGCTATTGGTAAATATAATGCATTAGTTTATTCAATATATATTTAAATAATTTTRTTACCAACATGCAGCCTGTGCTACAATTTGGTGAGATGTCAGGAAGTGTTCAAGTCAAACGAACAACCCCATTACGAATGGATATAGGCTTAACTCCAGGAAGAAGGAAAGTCATTGATGTATGTGATAATACTTAATATTAATTCTAAGATATTTGTTATTAATTTAAGTACAATTTTAGATTCAATCTATAAACCGCATTCCATGTGTAATTGAGGAAGGCACTAGATTTCCACAAGACAATAAAATTAATTATGAATCAAAAGAAAATTGCTTTGGAAGGTAATTCAATTTACAGTGTATTTAAAAAATGATAACTATGTATTTTTTTGCAGTTATCTAAATTTGGGACCTCCGTTGCCAGATTTAAATGTAGATGATTTACTAGATGATGAAAAGAGACAACAACTAGTTACTGTTCTTGAACAGAGAATTAAAAAAAAAGAAGAACTTCGCGAAATATTGATTAACCAGAGTATAATTAAATCTATTTAAAATATATCTGTTGTTTTTATTTAAAAACAAAAATAACGTTCAACATTTTCCTTTTTCAGGTAATGACATTCGATCACAAATAATATTTTTGGAAAGCAATTATTCCAATGCCAAACAAGAAATAAATTCATTGCAAATTCTGAGGGACCAAGATACCAATAAAGTATTCATAACCAAACTAATTTTTAACTCTGGTGATTATTACTCATAATATGTATAATATTGTTATATAGGTTAAGCAGTATCAAAACAAAACATTTTTAYTAGAAAATGAAATGGCATCATTAAAAAGAAAATTAGAATTTATGGATGGTGAAAACAAAAGATTAAAATCAGATGTAAGTTCAAAAAAATACTGGAATAWAACTATAAATTTACTTAACCTGATAACTGTAAATATGTAAATTAGATCAGGTCTTGCCTTGTTTTATTATAATCTCATACCTCTTGCCTCTTGCCTAAAATAAATCCCATTTAAAGACTATTCTAGATTAATGACATATTTGTTGTCATCAGCACTTAATTACAAAGYATACACCAATAAAGATGTATACAATCAAAATTTAGACTTAAACTGTATCTATTAATTTTTTAATTTCTAGTTAAATGCAAAAGACAACATGCTTAATCAAGTATCAGTAGACAAAGATCTGTTAAAACAAAAATATAATACAAAAATTGTTAAAAAACAAGAACAGTTGTCCAGAGAGTTCAAGGATAAATGGAAGGTTCAAGAAAACGAGTTTGAGGTTAGTATAATATTTTTATGTTATTTAAACTTAAATATATTTAACTAATGAGTTTTTACGAAGAAATTTTGCCAAGTTTTTAAAGTCATTGTACCAAAATTATTACGCTAATTTTTAATCATGGATGTCAGAACCTGTTAATTGTGGGGTAAAATTTGGGGAAATTTTAAAGTTCTGTTTTTCAGTGGCCATACATAGGCAGTAGGCACTTCAGAAAAGTAAAATCATATTTAAACAATCAAAAATATGTACCTCATTACCTGTTAGGTTTTGTTAAAAAAAATTTATTTATTAGGAAAAATATATTCAGGTTACATTAAACTATGACTTTAGAATTAACTGAGTGATTATTTTTTATTACAACTCCTGAAGGAAAAAAGAAGTTTTTCAATTTTATTTAACCTGTATGAAGTTTTCATATTCTAATCAAAATTTGCCTACCTATTTCATAAGGTATAAGTGTTGTCCTCGATTCAAATGTTTATAGTAAAAACAGTTTAGTTTCTATACTTATAACCGCAGTACGATTTGACTCCTTTTTTTATATATATTACAATTTGATACACACAATCTGTTCAACATAGCACAATAAGTATATGTGATATGATAATAGTAACATGAGTATTTTTAATTAAAAAATCACCAATTGGTGACACTTGACTAAGAATTATCGATATCTAGAATCTAGAACTGAGTTGTTTTTTTTTATTTACTTATTATTTATAACAAGTCTCAACACCAGTTCTTTTTTAGATGACTCGAGATTTGACTCCTTTTATTATTTTTATAAGTGCTAATTATTTTGAATTTCAGGCAAAATTACAAGATAAGAAACGCAAACTAAGACACATCAAAAATATAGTGGAAAGTACAGAAAATATTCCTGGCCATTTTTCTAGACGTATTGTAAAAAGAACCCTGTCTGATGAAAGCTTAAATAAAATAGAGCCAGTCGTAAACAATRATAAACCCTCAGATTCAAAACAAAATGAGGTAACTAAACTATATTTAAAAGATAACTCATAGTTGACTTCACAGAGCATTAAAATTATTTAACATTTAGCCATCACAAGAAACACTAAGATACTTACGCTCAAGACGTTCTAAATCATGTGACCCTCATGAACGTTGGATTGAACACAAACCTCCAGTACCTACTCCTTTGCAAACTATCATGCAACCCAAATTGAAAAAGCGCAAATCTGTTACCAAGTTGACAGATGCAAAAACCGTATCAAACAATGGTGCATCTAAATATTGTTTATTGACACAAGGATCAGACGAACAAGGCATTCCAGAAGCTAAACTATATAAAGTACATTTTACCTGTTTTAATAATAAAATATGTCAATAAAACTAATATTAATTGTTTTGTAATTTGTTAGGCTGATATTATACAAACCATGGGTGGAGGTGCTCAGGTGGTGTTTAATGATGTTGAAACGTTGAAACAGGATTCACCACTGGGTGGATCTCCAGTGAAAAATCGTATCCAGGCATATAATAATGAATTAAAGGCTCATAGAGGCAGTCCTGATGAGATACAAGCAAAATGTTATGGAATTCAAGGAGGATTTACTCCAAGAAAATGATCTGACAAAATAAATCATCATCAATTATAAAGAAAAATATATTAATTTTATGGAGAATTGGCTAACTTATGTGATATCAATTATAAATTACTTTTTATTATTATATATATATAAATATAGATTGTACATAATATTACTTTAAGAATTTGGCAGTTTTATTTAACTTACATTTGTAAACAGAACAGAACAGAAAATTGATATAGCATAATTTGACACTATAAGGAATTAATTCCACACAAAATGCCATTTCAATAATAGTTTAAGTTCTACTTTGTACGTCAATGTCAGCATTATTTGTTTTTATACATTTAAATGAACCTATTTATTCATTATAAAATCAATTGGTTTGTTCATTTTTATTTTTGTACTGTTAGTTTTTTAGCATTATATAATTATTATTTATTAATAAGTTTTACCTCTAAAAATGTTGTAACATGATCATAAATATTTTTATAATATAATATCATACTTCATTTTATGTTTTAAACGAGTATTTAACAACTAAATTAGTATTGTTTTTATTGAATTTTTTTCCAAGTAAGTTTTTATTAACTTAAGAAAAATATTTTATTTTTCAAATCAATAACTTTATAACACATTAAGAGAGTGATGATGTAGGGAGAGCAATATATAGATACAACTTACAATAGTGGTTGATGTATCATTTTAATTTTCATACTGATATTAGGTGATTGTGACCTTATATTAATATTAAAAGAAAAAGCATTTTAAACACTATTTTCTGCATACGTATTTTAATCGCAAAAACAAATTTATTTTAACTAACATATATCGACAGAACAGATTTGTACAGTACACAATAATATTGTTTTAAATAGTATATAATATACAATTTTAACTTAACCTAGTCCTAAAGATTTGTAATCGTTTTTCGTATATTTTAGAACTATTATTAAATGAAAATGTATACCATATTAAAATAAGTTAAATTAAGTACAATAATAAAAAAAACAATATGATTCTATTAACAATATAAAGTTTTCTTCCATTATACACCATACAATTAATGATAAAAATTAAATGCTACTGTACTTTGAAACACATACATTTTATATAACAGATCATAGTTGTACAACTATGGTAACATCCGTGTAAAGGAAATAATTAACAACAGATATCATAAGCTAATAATAAAAATTAATTGTGAGGTCATTTTTCATAGAAAACGACAAGACTAGAATCACAGACGGGCAAGGAAAATCAAATAATATCTARGGTATACACAGTAATTAATAATAGGTATATAATAATATAATATAGCTAATTTAATATTCTTAACTTAACTTTGTTTACTTGTAATGAAGTATATTTTTTTACGATTTTTAATGATAAGACGAGTTGTTTGGTCCCTTAGCATTAAAACATAATTAGATGAAATCATTTTTTTCTTTTTTTTTTGTATTTGCTTTTAATGTAATGGTTATTTTTTTTTTTTGAGCGCAAATGTATTATATTATTTTAATATTTTCTATGACAACCAAAGAAATAAAATGGGTTCACATTAGTATGTATTTATATTTTTTAAATACATAATTGTTAAGGGATCACCCTTGGTTAGTAAAATTACTATCCATAGACATAAGAATTAACAAGAAATAGGTATATATAATATATATACAGTTGTTGTATTGAATGAATGCCCAGGTCACAAAACACAAATTCAATTTTTAATCGGCATTTTTTTTTTTTTTTAATTCGGATTCCTTTACACACAGTTGTGACTTTAATTTTAGGAATAATTTTCCAAATTACTACCACCTTGTTTACAATTTCAAAAAAAAATACATCGATTAAAAACTGATACATATAAATATTATATGCAATCATATTTTTGCCACTTACTGGGATGATACATTAAAACTGTGTATATACAAAAATATATAAATTTTAGGATTCCAATCAGGTACAATATAGAAAAAGAAAAATATTTGTTATTAAATACTTTAGCTATTGATTAATACATTTTAAATATAAATCAGTGCTGGTATTATTGCATCATTCWCAAGGGCTAAATATTCTTTTTTTGCGTGCAAAAATTTAAGTGAATAAAATTGATTTTCAAACAATGTGTGTACTGGGTAGCTGGCAAGAGTAATTGCAGATGGAACGAGCATCGCACTCATATTTAAATACATACTATAGACATAAATTTACAATACACTAAMACATATGTCATTATTGAAAGAGATGAAGATACTAAAAACAGATGAAAAATATTAAATTCGCAAAGGCTTTAAAAAAAAAACCATATAATAATAAAAAAAACAATAGACATTAGTTAACGACAGTAAAGAAGACTTTGTACCACTAGCGACGAGTACAAAATAAAATATAATAAATCTATGCATTTAATTGAAGAGAAACACAGACTTTCTACTCAGTAGACAAGCAGAAGAAACACATTTATGCAACATACGAACACAATTAAGGTTGTATAATAAAAAGAATTAAAACAAATGAGAAGAAACAAAAATATTCAAGGACATGAAGTAGTTAGAAACTTAATTTTTCAGTCAAATCAATTTTAAACACAACATAAAGGATACGTTATTAATTATAAACAATAATAATGAAAAATGGTAATAATAATAATAATAGTAGCAATAATACTCAATCAAAATTTATGCAGCTCAAATTTGAGAAGAAAATTGTGATATATTTGAGCTTGATAAAATTTGAGTCGGCAGCTAATGAAATGTATACATATGAAACTTAATGAGATATTATCAAATTATTGAGTAACACTTATCCACGTTAAACAACAAAACTGTTGKTTAATTAGTATTGCACTTCAAATGACAAAAATGGCATTGGTTATAAAAAATCTCTTGCTATTTATGATCAAAGATAATGTTAACAGAAAATTTCTAAATTCCTCTGTAAAACTAATCCTATAATACAATTGGTATGAAGGCTCCCCCTTCCCTCTATAGATTGCAGCCGAGTTAAAATTAATTCTGAAAACTATATAAAGGAATCTTAGACATAATTACATTTAGTATGATCTAAATGAAATGTTTAGGAGGAGGAGGTGTTTTATATGGCGACTGATTAGGCGAATTATCGCCCAAATCCAATCTTAGCTCAACTTCGGGCCCAAGAATTGGGCATAAGTTTAACTGGTCCAAAGAAAGTGATACGGCTGCAACATCAGGCATGATTACTTGCTCTCCTCGACCATCAAAATCATCGTCTTCATACTATAAATTTGATTACCAAAAATAAGTAAAAAAAGAATTCAAAATTCATAATTACTTACTCTGACATTATTAGTGTATCGTAAAGATGATGCCATATCATTCACATTATATGGTCTATGTTGTTTTCTCAATTTCTGCTGAGCATACATGGATGGTAAGGTGCTAGTTCCTAAACCTTTTCGTTTTTCTTTTCTTGTGCGACTGCTTCGAGATCTTGTACTTTCTTTTGGTTTATCATCAGAACCTCCACCACAGTARCATACAGAACTAGCAGCTTTCTAATTATAATAAATTTTACGTTAAAAAATGTTTAATTTCAAAACGTTATTAAAATATTGATAATACTTCTAAAAGATAAGCAACTGGGTCTGGTAAATTGAATTCTCGCACAACTCTTAATCTTATTTGATGATTGATTTCTTGTCGACTAGATAAAGGCAGTGATATTGCTCGYTGACAACCAGGGGCAGATCTTAGTTTCTGGTCACGTTTAACCATAGCATTCATGGTTGACACATCTGGTGCTAAATACAAATTCATGGTATTAGAAAAAACTCTACGATTTAAAATAAACTATTATTATTATACTTGGTATTGAAGCTGTTAAAACATCAAGAGATGAAAGACCATATGATGATGGAGTAGGTTTTTCTTCAATCATATACAATGTGTCAGGTATACCATCAGGCATATATCTTGTTCGTCGTACAAGCTCTTCATCCTCTCTTAACATTTGATCTTCAAATAATGACTAAACCAAACAAAAAATCCATTACAATTTTATTGGAAAATTATATTAATATAAGAAATCATCGAGAATAACATATTAATATAAATATCAGGTTATTTTAATCGCCATAACATTTGAATTAATTTACATTTTAAAAAGTCTCATATTCTCGATGTAACATAATTAAAATTTCAAAAACCAAACAAACAGGAACGCTTGCAGAGAAGCACCTCACTAGGTACAGAATACTTTTAGTATCAATATAAACCATTGGGAGGSCGAGCTTGATAGTCAGTACTAGAGTACAATAAATAACTTAATAAAATATTTATCTAATATTAAGTTTCTAAATAAGGCATAAGTTTGGAAATACATTATAAAATAATAGAGAAGGAATTTTATATTTTATTATTTATTTTAAAATTCTCAGGGCATCCCTGCAAAAAATAGTTTTCAGGTTACAATAGTTTTTATATATTTTAATTTAGTTAGAATTGCAAAAACAGGCTTATATCATGTAAAAATATAAAAATATCCATGTTTATTTACTWAAACATAATTTTAGACCAATCAAATTTTTAAATACTAATAAATAAATTACTATTCTTTATTATTTATAATAAATGTTTGTCACATTTTCTCATACAAATAGCTTTCATTATTGTGGTCTTTAAAGTAAATAATGAGCAATACCTAAAATTTAYAATAAACAAAGCAAATCTTATGTCTAAGATTTACTTACTTTAATTTCATCATAGTATGGAATAAACAATCTAGGTCTCACATAAAGCCCAGATGGATGTCTAATCCAAGCATTGATTCTGGACATATGATGAGACAACATAGGTGAATCGTTACCAATCATATGGCTTGGCGGTGAACTCACTAAACCTCTTCTTATTGCTTGGGTCAAAGTCTCATGTTCTGTGGGAATAACATGATCCATACGCACCAAAGGTAAGAGTTCAGATAATATTTCACGAAGTTCTACATCACTTAAATCTCGTTTCTTCACACCTTTTCGGCTAACAGAATGTGTTGTTTGACTAACTAAATTTGGTTCTAAAATCAATAAAATGATTTATAAATCAATTATAAAGTTTTAACACTTGAAATTTAATACCTCTATCTTCCATGCGTCTAATCAATTCATGTTCACCCCATTTGAGAACCGCTTGTAAAACTTCAAGTTCACTTGATTGTAAGAAATTACTCTTTAAACAGTCTATTAGATGAGCTTTGTCAAGTTGGTACAAAACAGGACTATTAGCTACTTGAGAAAATTCTTCTCGTAAAAAATGCTTAGCTTGGCGATGAACCCATGCTGACCCATGAGGTAAACTCCCCCACCTATTAGTTATTTGTTATGTTATTACTTAATTAAATGTATAAGCCAACATCATAAAATTTAAATAWAATTACCTAAGCACTCCTGGAAGTGACTCTAGAGTAAGCCATTCTAAGATAAGATCCTCACAACCTTGGGATACTATTTCTAATTCTAGGAAACGACCAATCTGATACAATTCCATAGCTTCATCTAGAGGACTTGGCCTAACACGTCCTGTATTAGTTAGAGCTTCAACCTAAGGCAAAATATAATCATAAGTATTATAAGACAGTGTATAACAGTGTATAACATTGTATTATATTTACTTCACTTAAACTGCCAGCAGAAGAACCACACCCAGAACCTCTTAGTATAAGAGACAAATCAACTGTATCTAAATAAATTGCATGTAACAGTACTCGTGCGTATCGTTTTGGAATAACTGATTCATCTAGTACTATCCTAAAATATAATAAATAATTTACAATAAACAAATAATTATTGATAAATAYAATAAATTGCTGTTCAAACCTTGTTGGAATGTGTAAAGCTCTTTCGGTATGTTCTTCACCAGATTTAGTCCTTCGTTGAATAAGATTCCTAAAAAATGGTGACCTAGCACTAAGAATAGATTTATGGCAAGGCAATTCCAGCTTAGGTTGAAAACCATATTCGGATCCAGTAGATTCTGGCCTTCGATCTGAATATCCTTCTGGAATAAACACAAGTGCAGCATCTGCATAGTCTCCGGTTTCCAACAGGTATCTTAAATCATTTTCTAACACATTTGGTGTACCAAGTTCATCACCAAGTCTCCTTAATAATGCAAGGTCTATATCTCCATCTCTTGGAGCTATATCGCCAGTGTATAAAAAACGTAATAATGCTGAAAACATTTCTATATCCACACCAGGCGTCCTCAAATCTAAACAAATACGCGCTCCATAACCAGGACAACCCAAGAGTAATTCACGAAAATATGGACATCTAGCTGACAGTATTGCTCTATGTACCGGAAAACAAACACCACKAAAAATGAGATCGACATCTGTACAATACTTATGGTCATATAAAGTAGATAAATCTTGTTTAAATGTAGCAGCTGGAGGTCTTGCTAGTTCTGCTTGCACAGACAAGTCTTTGAGGGCAGCCAATGCTTCATATTCTTCAAGTAAAGCAGTAACCTCAGCTGGTGACCAATCAGATATCAACTCTCTTATGATACGACCATGATTACACACCTTGGAATACCGACGACGCTTAATAAGCTTCTTTCGCAAAGTAGCAAAACCAGACATACGCATCTTACGTCTCTCCCTAAAAAAAATATAAGTAAATATAAGAGTAAGYAAGTACTAAGAACAAAAATACTATAAAAACAAATATGCTTACTTTATAATAACTCCTGGATAATTTTGAACCTCCACATTTGGATATTCATTTGAAGAAACCCCGGCACCCATTCTGTCGTCTGGCCAAWTCCTTTTCGTCATCCCATCATATGACCAGACACAAGATAACAATGTGAAACATAAGTTCATCACATAGTTATTTTCTCTAAAATATACAAGTTAGTTAATAAAGAAATACAGTTCTGGTGAATATAAAATCTTATAAAATAATATTAATTGAAGAAAACTTTTGTGTTCCTTTTTATTTATTATCATATTCAGATCTTTTCACATTTACTAACTACACTAATTAACATTTTTAATAAGCATAACTTTTAAAGGTTAATATATAGTTGGTTAGATAACATATTCTAAGTTGTATATGAATTTWAAAAAACTATTCACTTTATATAATACTACCATTACTACCATTCAAAACAATGGACTAAGAAGGTAATTATTAAAATGCATGGCTATAATTTACTCAATTGTTTAAACTACCTATATAAAGTGTGTAATTAAAGTGTAACRATTCAAATAAAATAACAGTTAAATATATATACCTATATAAATTATAAATTAAGTTTCCTAATTCACTTTCAAATTGGGTCAAGTCAATAAGTTATTGTATACAAGGAATAAGTAGTAACAATAACATAAGGAAATCAAACAATAATTATATGGTGTATTATTTTAAATCAAAACATTGAATTAATATTACAAGTTCACAAGAAATGAAARAAATATGTAGTCAAAAAGTATTTCTTGAGTAGGTTGTTTTGGGTGTCTAAAAAAATTAGCCACTTACATAAAATGGCCCTTTCTTGACCTGCATTCGTGGAATCATCMATATGAATAGTACTGTTTGATTACTTTTTAAAACTAAATCTTCAGTAGGAGTAACTTTTTAACTAAAATTTTAAATAAAAACTAAATTTGTTATAGAAATTTCTGAGATCTGAATACAAATTTTGCTGAGAATATTTTGTTCTATTGATAAAAAAAAAAACATCAACACGCCTACAAAAATGGTTACAATATCTTTGGAAATTAATTTCCTAGTGAGAACATGGATACAATATTCTACAAAAATGAAAACATGTTAATTTTATAAAATAAATAATTTCACAATTTTAGTTGTGATTACAATTTACAATACAATCTCATTTTTACTACTGTTAAGTACTACTGAAATTTTATTTCCCAGTAACAGTTAATTRTTGTATTTAGTTGAGTCAAGATCATTGCATAATTTGAATCATGGTTCATATTCACTTTGGAAATTTCAATCAAACTAAACATATTGATAACAAAAACATGTGATTAAACAAAACACGCTGATAATTAAAATGATAAGTTCCGTTTCCTAGATGCAGAAATGCAGAATTTTTGCGGTAGACGGTATTATAAATTTCGTAGTTTTAATGTTAAATTAATGATTACAATAAGTCAATAAATATTAAATACGATATATTTAGAACTTTAACATTATTCCCTAATTAGGTACTCAAATTACATTTTATTTTATTTTTATTGAAACCCGTCGACTATTAACTGTTGGGGTTATGAACAATGAACTGTGGTAGGGGTAAGGTTTAGGTACGGTAGGTTGTTAGTGTTGTTACGCCGTTACGGTTGTTACAGTAGGTAGCAAACACTGAAACWCGTGTATGTGAGATTGTGAGGCAAAGTTTTTTAACTACAATTACTATAATGACTACTATGAACCCGGGTGGTCACCCATCCGGGAACTAGTAGCTGTGGCCGTTACTTACTCCCAGTCGGGCCAGTCGGCAGTCGCATTCCGCGAATCGCGATCGGTTGCAGCTAACGCRCCACACATTTTAATATTTTATATATTGAGTTGTACACATTTCTTTCAATCAAATAATAACAATTGTAAGTATTTTAACAGATTGAATAATATTATACATACGAGTATACATCAAATTAATAAAACTTA